AAGAGTGTGGTGTTTGTGTGCCTCCCTGAGTCTGGAGTCCAGGGAAGGGCGTCCACGCAGCCGGGCGGCCCTGGTTCCCTCTCCCCACCCCCGGGGTCAGAGAGAAAACCCGAGGAACACTCCTGGTTTCCTCTTGGTTAACATCTGGTTAGCTGGAACCAGGGGTTCTGGAAAAAAAAAAAAAGAAGGCATGCGAAAGTGACCACTCCGGTTGTATGTGGACGTGACAGGCCGTCCTCGCCTGAAGGAGGCCGGGAGGGAGGGTCTGGGGCGCCCACACGCGCAGGGTGGGAGGAGCCCGGACCCTGGGGAGGCACCGAGTGGGGCGGCCCCGCCGACCATGGTGAGGGTGACCCCCAGGCTCTGGGAGAGAACGAGAGTCACACACACTCCCTCGACTCGGAACTCACCCCCGAAGCTCGGGTGGCCTGGGAAACTTGAAAACCCTAACAGAGTAGATGTAAGTAATATATTAATTGTATATTAATAGAAATAACAAAATAAAGCTTAGGGCAAACTCCTGTCATCCAAAGCTGCTCAGATGTGGGCTCTACTGTGCTGGGGTCACAGGGCTGAAGCGGGTCTGGGCCTGGGGGTCCAGTCCCTCAGCCCTGGGCTCTGGGCTCCACACTGAGCCCTGGAGGACATGGCTGCCTCCTCCAGGCCCGGGGCAAGGTGTGAGGCAGCAGAGCCTTGGGGGTAACCCAGGTCTCAGAGGTGTCTACAGGGTCTGTCCAAAGCCCTCGGTTGGGACACTGGCCTTGGCCCCGTGATTACCACCACACAGGCCTGTGCTGACAAAGGGCCTCCCGAGGGCACAGGCAGGGTGACTCCTGGAGGCCCCTGAGCTTTCCCACTTTTGTTGTTTGTATGGCATCTCCTCTGGGCAGGAGGAGGAAAGGACGGTTCCAGCCCCGGGCAGGCGTGGTTTCCAGAGGCAGTGGGGGGCGGGTGGTGCCCGGCCAGCATCAGTCCGACACTGTGCACAAGGCACAGAGTGAGGGGCACAAATTCCTCCAGTTTCAGACTTGAGAGTAAAAACGAGTGAAAGAAACAAGAGAAAAGGGGCAGAGCACAGAGAGAGGAGGCTTTGCTGCGTGCGTTACCTTGAGGATAATTTCTAACGTAAAGATACTAGTGAAGACATAGTCTGCGTTGCCTAGGATCTGAAAGATAAGCACAAGCAGATTAGTGGCTCCGAGTGACGGGACAACAGAGCGTGTGTTAGCGGCAGAGCAGCGACAGCCGGACAGGACAGGACAGGACAGGGCAGGACAGGGGGCATGCGTTACCTTCAGAGCAATTTCAATGGTGAAAATGGTAGTGAAAACAATGTCAAAATAAAACAGAATCTGTAAAACAAAGAGACACAGGGTGGGGATGGGGCAGGGGTGGGAGAAGCAGGACGGGAGGAGCGGTCACCAGCGGGAAGTCACCCCAAGCAGGGAGCCTTTCCGTGGGGAGACAGTGGAACGGGTGAGGGGACCAGAGGCACTGGCACAGCACCGGGTCCTGAAGCCCCCAGATCTGTGAGGGGAGCTTCCAGGCCCGACTCAACTGGTCCTGGGTCTGGCTGGGTGCTTTTCTCATGAATTCAGTTTACTTGCAAACCCAAATCAGACCGCTGGGACGCTTGTCAAAAGGACAGCGTGGGGTCTGCTTTTCTCTGCATGAAATTGCAAAATGCTTAATTCGCATTGGCGTGACGAGCTAGTCTCTCATGTTTGTGGGACCCTACGCCGCTGCTGTGCCCTTCAGGGTGCGGAAGGGTGCACCCCAGGCTAGGGGCAGGCTCCGGGGTTCATGCTTTACTACGTCTCAGGTGACGGATCAGAGTGAGGGCCAGCGCCTTCCCCAGGAAGAAAGCTCTGGACCACGCAGGCTGCAGGGCCACCGGCTGGCTTGGCAGGTGGTAGACTCCTCCCTTCGTGCCCACCTGGTTGGGATTTGATAAAGTTTTGAGGCTTCGAGATATGGAAGGTCTTCCTCTGGCCTATGATGTAGGTCACCAGAGCCTGGGGTGGTCTCCAAATTTAGTTTAGACTTTGCAGAGGGTCACTGAGGCCCTCCTATACGAGGGCGGCCTCATCAGAGCACCCGTCTGCCACTGCCCCCCGGCGGCCAGGACGGGCCAGTGTACCTCGGGGCAGGGTGTAAACCGCTCGGTTCCAGGGAGGTGGACCCCCGGGGAACGCCCGCGGGCCGTGGAGTCGGCTGTGGCCCGTCAGGCTGGCCTGAGGCGCTGGGTCCATGGTCTCCTTCTGCTGACGGGCCTAAGATGGGTTTCCACCCAGCTCTCATCTCTCAAGGGAAGGTCTGCTGTGCCTCTGACCCTGAGATGTGGGCTGGGCTCTGGACTGAACAGCCACAGAAGCTGCGGGCCGCGCGGCGGGGGCGGGTGCAGGGGGCGAGGCACCTACGTGGTTCCTGAAGGACGTGTGCTGGACGGGGTCCTCGGCCGCCAGGGAGATGCTGCTGAGCAGGATGAAGAACAGGATCAGGTTGGTGAAGACGGAGTCGTTGACGACGCGATGGCACTGGAGGCGGAACCTGCCGGGGCGGGGGGCGGGGCCGTCACGCAGGGCCGGGGCC